ACAGCATCCTGTTTTCTTGGGGAAACATTTTCCTGAGAAAATCAGAAACAACAGTAATGTTTCTAGTTGCTAAAACAGAGTTTCGGTATACAGTCTTGTTCCCTGCCAGCAGAAGGTGAATCACTGATGCTAATGAACAAAAACATGCAAATAGGTTTATCTGCATAATCTGTACAGATCCTAGAATGTTGCTTTGCTCAAGGCAGCATTTGAACTTCCCTTCCCTTCCCTCATCCTCCAGAACAATGATGAAGAGAAACTTCTGTGAAGTAGTGGAATCTTCTGAAATGTTATTACAATATTCTGAACTTCCTTTCCTGACTCAGAGGAGCAGTACTGTGATTTGAGAATATGTACCACAGTAACAGTGCCATCAGAATCTGAAGAGGACAAAGAAGGACCTCTCATGAAGGGAAGCCGGAATGGCCTCCTCCCTGCTCTCCTTTAAACAGCAGGCTAAAACTTTTTTTATTAAGGCAGGCTTTTAGAGACAAGGGTGTCTAAGATCTAGTCGGGGTGCTAGAGTTTTTAACTGTTTTGATGAATTTAAACTGATTTTTAAAATGCTGCTTGTGTTTAATTCTATTTTAATGTTTGCATTTTTTAATATTTTAAATTGTATATTAATACTTTTATGTCAAGCAGCTTTGAGTCTCCTTTGGGGAGATAAAATAGTGTGTCAATAACAACAACAACATGAAGTGAGATTTAGGACCTCACCAGATGGGGAAAATTGCCCATCCTATTCTGCTTTGACCCCTCTTCAGGCAGACAGCCTGCGGTCTCCTATTCCACAGCTACTGGTCAAAGGACATTTAATAGAATGCCAAGTTTGCAAACTTTGTGTGTTTTTAAAAAATACAATACAACTGTTTGGCTCGCTCCTGACACGATAAATAAATAAATCTACTTCTGGCGGGGCTCTGTGCCTGAAAAGAGGTGAAAATGGCATTGGCTGCTACACAGGAGGTTTCCTAGGTTGCATAAGGAACATCGGGGTGAAGCTTGGTGATGGACACTTCCTCCTGTGGGATGGGTTAAGTTGCAAGGTGGGTGATGTGGCAGAGTGTGGGACAACGGGTTTCTCATGCTCTTAGCTTGGCCCTGCCAGATTCGCCATGATCCTTGACTAATCTAGTAGTTAATGTGATGAGGTCCTTAGTCACCCAGTTTAAAAATAATATTTTTAATGTCATTTTTAGTATGTGTTTGGAAATGATTTACTGGTTTCTTCTTTTATGTCTTTCCTATCTCTTCCTTTCCTCTTTTTGTGCTCTAATTCACAAAAAGTGTGGGGTGGGGGAATCATGCTACCCTGAGCACGTTGGAAGGATGGCCAGGTATAAATTGTATTTAAAAAGCTACAAAGGATGTACATGCTATTTGGCTGAAACTGGGGAAGGCGAAAACCATGCTTGTGGTTTTCATTAAGTTCATAATTTGAGCACTGACCAAGCACATTCCTCAGCTTTCATTACTTCATGCTGTGGTGGAACCAATGTGTACCGTGAACTTAATTTTCCTTCTTTCTGGAGTTCTTGCCAAGAAAGAGGCTCTGCAGCTGGGTTAGATGAAGGCATAGGAAAATTGCTTTTTCTGAAAGGAAAGTTATCCCAATGCAAGAGGAATGGCTGGCGAAGATCTGTGAATTACCTGAGATGGATGAACTGATGATGCTGATCAAGGAAAAATCTTTGACAAACTTTGAAAAGATTGGGAGTGGCTTCTTACTTTTTCACAACAACAACGGAATCAGATGTCAATTGCAAAATTTAAGAAACAGAGGAATGGTATTTAAGGCAGAAGTCTGGTTAGATAGTACTATCTAAAGGGAGTACAATAACAAGGTGTAAAATCAGTAGACAATGGCTGGATCTACACTGCTCTAGATCTCAGGATCTGATCTCAGATTGTTTGCTTATCTCATATTATCTGGCAACAGGAGCCCCTGGTGGCGCAGTGGGCTAAATCCCTGTGCTGGCAGGACTTAAGACCAACAGGTTGCAAGTTTGAATCCGAGGAGAGCGCGGATAAGCTCCCTCTGTCAGCTCCAGCTCCCCATGCGGGGACATGAGAGAAGCCTCCCACAAGGATGGGAAAACATCAAAACATCCAGGCATCCCCTGGGCAACGTCCTTGCAGACAGCCAATTCTCTCCCACCAGAAGCAACTTGCAGTTTTCTCAAGTCATTCCTGACACGACCAAAATAAAATAAAATCAAATCTGTCAGTATAAACTCATATAATCCAGTTCAAAGCAGATAATCTGGGATAGATTTTGAGATATAGGGCAGTGTAGATCCAGCCAATGAGTATGAAGTTCATAGAATTGTCTCTTTAGCTGTGTGATTATAAGTAATTTGCATGTTGATATAATTAGGTGTTTGCTATTGATTTAGTTTTGTAGACTGTTGTAGTGGCTAGTTATTTAGTTTTAACAATATGTGTGTATATATCATGAACATCTGTTTTTGTATTATTTCTGAATAAAAATTAGGATTTTTTTTAAAAAAAGGAAAATCATATTCCCATCTACAACTCTCAGGATTCCTGGGAGATTCTGGAGTTTGTTGTCCAAAAAGTAATTTTTCTAATCTGTGGCCAAATGCTATAGTTTTTCCACATAAATGCAACTGAGCAGGTGCAGAAGGAGAGAGAGGACCCAAATTTACTAAACAGCAGTCTACCTGGAAGCCATAACATGGGTAAACAACTTTCCAGGCTGCTGGCCATAATGAGGTAGGGTATTACCATTCCAGCACCAGGAGAAGCTCAGGAAGTTTTGCCTTGGCACACAGACAGAACCAACAGGAGGAAAAAACATTTGCAGATCTTTTAGCGCATGCTTCAGGGTTAGCCACACATATAAGTGATTTTCTATGGTTTTATATTAAAGCCATCTTTGAGGGAAAGATTATATTAAGGGCTATATTGTTACATTCCTTTCTTACTATTATTATGGTGGAAACAAGGAAAAAGTTCAATGTATTGCTTTTATGAAAACAGCTACCAACCAGAACTGTAGAATCCATTCTGTGTACACTTTGTAAAAGCTAGGTGTAGGAAAATGCAGTCAGGTGAAGTGAAATGTCATAAAGCAATCTTTCACACTACTCTGTTGTAATTATTCTGGGCTTGCTTGAATGTGCAGGACTGCTCTCGTGCTTCTTTTACCAATGGATTGATCTTTCTCATCTCATAGCTTGCCTCCCATTCTTAGCTGGCAAGCCAAAGTGATAAGAGAGAGAGAGGCTGAGAAAGAAGGAGAGAGAGAGAAAAATGCTCTGAAAAATGTCTGTTTTATGATAGATGCCAAACCCTTTATGTGATCAGTGAATTTATCACAGGCAGTGTTCATATAGGTATGGTTTAAATGTTTAGCACTTTCAGAGAGACTGCGGTGTCCTTGTAATTCTTTAACTAGAAAAAGGAGATATGGATGTTTGTAGCTGCAAGAAATGCAGCATACAGATGACAATGCTAGATTTGCTCACTATCATCACCCTGGCAACCGGTTGAAGGACACGTTAAAAATCTTGAAAACCGAAATGAATCACTGTTAGAGCCTTTGAAGCAATGATGTTGTGAAGCAGTCATGAATCAAGGCACACAACTGCCTCTCATAGTATTTTAATTTTTTTCATTGTGATACTTTACTTTTTATTATAATGTGCCACTTAGATCAGTGTTGCAGAATAGATTAGTTTGCACTTCTTTTTTGATTGCTTTGATTGTGCTTTTTCTGCACAGCAGGGGATTGGACTATTTGACCCATGTGATCTCTTCCAACTAGATGGTTCCAGGAGTTGAACAGGTTGTATTGCAGCTTCCATCCATCCTAAACACCATGAAAGATAATCAGTGTTGTATTCCAACATGTGAATGTGGCCCATGTTACCTATCTCCACACACTCCAACTATGGCAACATGGCAAGGACAATCCTCTGTCAGCCCACTTTTCCAGCTGCTTTTATAATGTTTCTAGTTTCATTTTCTTTCCTCTTATCTTACTTAAGTTGCTGCAAACTGAATTCAAGGTGCAAAAGTAGTTTTGTACTCAATTAACTGAGGAAGAAGTAGAATCTTGCCCATTCCAATAGGCTCAGGCAAAAAAGAAAATTGCTGCACTCTGCTAACTTGTGTGTTCTTTCTCATTAATAACTCTGTCTTGCTATTTTTGTAGTGTGCCAAATCTTTTCTGACTTTTGGCAAACCTAAGGAGAACCCATCATAAGCAACTTCATCACACGAAGTGACCTAATGCAAGTGACAGTGGGGGATTCACTGGGCATCATGGTGAATCTGGCAGGAGGAGGGAGAATCCTTCACCTTGCATCCCACAATGCTTGCAGCACCACCTTTCCCATCACATGGGGGAAAGTGTTGCTGCACTGCTCCCTCCCCCCATTTCTTGCTGTCATGTTGCCAGGGCTCTGCCGGTACACAGACAGAATGAACCAAAACAAACACCCAGCCTGTGTCAAACTGTTTAATTAAAGCAGCACTTACTGTCTGGCTGCTTTCATAGTCCAAAATATAAAACAAAAAGATAGCACTCAACCACAGAATATAATATAAAGGCTGATAGCAAACACTGATGCAAGTTTGAGAGAATACCATAGTCAAAAAGGTCTAGTCCAGTAGTCAAACGCCAAGAGTTCAATGAGTAAAGTCCAAGGATCAAGAGTCTATACTGTAGTCAATATCCAGAGATTCAAGATTCATGAGTTCCAAGAGTTCAGGAGACAGGTGAGGATACCAAAAATCTGATACTTCCAGGCAAAGTTAAGTTGTTTTTTGTGAGAAGGATGTGGGTGAGAGTTTGGATTTGCTTGGATTTAATTGTGTACAGTTTTGCATTTTATGCACATTTTTCATTAGTGGTGTGGCTTTCTATGCATAATAATCCTTCCATAGACTTTGGGATAAAATGAGCTAAAAAACAAAATAATTGCATTCTTTTATAAATATTTATAAATATTTCTCTTTTGATCTTGCAGGCCTTTGGAGCGTTCTAGTGAAGATTTAGATATTATATTCACCCGGCTAAAAGAAGTGAAAGCATTTGAAAAATTCCATCCAAATCTGCTCCAGCAAATATGCCTTTGTGGCTATTATGAAAACCTGGAAAAAGGAATTACATGTAAGATGTTTTTCTTTCTGAAAAAGAAATATGTAAGAGTGAACCAGAATCAGAAAATATTGTCTTTCTTTTTTAATGTTTGTAGAATTGTATGCTTTTTCTGAAGATTGGAATGTTTTTGGTTTGTTTACCATGTGAATTTTGTTTTTATGTATTTATGTTATGTATTCAGACTCTTCTGTTTAATAGGAAACTCATTTTGTGTTAAAATACTTTGAACAGTCTTTAGCAACTTTGAATGGAGATCTGCTAATGTTTATGGAAAATACACTGCCAGATGTATTATCGAAGTCTTTCGTGGCCACAATCAATGGGTTGTTGTAGGTTTTTCGGGCTATATGGCTATGTTCTAGAAGCATTCTCTCCTGATGTTTTGCCTGCATCTATGGCAGGCATCCTCAGAGGTTGTGAGGTCTGTTGAAAACTAGGGAAATTGGGTTTATAAATCTGTGGAAAATCCAGGGTGGGAGAAAGAACTCTCGTCCATAGGAGCTAGGTGTGAATGTTTCAATTGGCCACCAGTATTAAAAAAACCTCTAAAATTGTAACAGTAAATAAAGAACAAAACTCAAACATAGGGGAACTCCAGACAAGAAACAATCAAGAACAGCTAATCACCTCTCAACAAAGGATTTCTCCAGGCAGTAACAAGCCACACATAAAAACTGTCAGGCCATCAAATGCTAATCAAGGTGGCCAGTTGAAACATTCACACCTCCTCCAACAGACAAGAGTTCTTTCTCCCACCCTGGATTTTCCAGATATATAAACCCAATTTTCCTAGTTTTCTTTGTCTTAGAAACTGAGATGAGCACCACCCCCCAGAGTCAAACTTGACTAGACTTAATGTCAGGGGGAAATCTTTACCTTTACATAATGTTTTCTTTATACTGAAATAATTCTTGGGTATATCAAGGACCTTTCATGCCTGCCTCCCAGGTCAGTTCAAAATAAGCCAGTATTTTCCAAAATGAAATGTGTTTCTATTTGGTAGTCTATTATCCCATAACTAGATAAGGTGGCCATCATCAGTAAACTAAACTATTGTTTCCAGGACACAAATTTAACTGAAGTCAAGTGAATGTCAACACTAAAACAAACCGTTTCTAATGTTAAAGTAGTTCAACATTAGTAAAGCATCGTAGCATGTTAACTATAGCTTCTGAGTAATAATAAAGAAGGCTCTGTGGAAATTGGTGAAAATAAATTTCTGAAATATTACCTAAGTCTAGGTATGACACATGATCAATGGGAACAGAAAGAGAACGAACCCAAGGACATGGGTAACTTGTGATATTTCAAGAGAGGGTTTGTATGGGTGTAAAATTAGGGATATGAAGATATAATAAAAAACTGGATCCCTTAGAGATCCCCAGAGATCCTTCCAGAGATCTCCCCCATTTCTGGATGAGCCATCACTTCATTTCTTTTCTCTCTCATCCTTCTTGTGGTCTGCCTATGCTTTTTTCTTCCTTATTCCAGGGCCACACATTTTGCAGAACAGGAGAAAGAAGGGCAGAGAGTGAGCTAAAAGGCTATAGCTGTATTAGCAGAGGGATTAGTTTAGTGCAGACAGGCTTTATAATCTGCTTTTCAACTCAAGTGAATTCTCAGGGCATGATATTGTAACAAAACATTAAAATATCAGAAGGGAAGTATAAAGGAACTCAGCAACATTGCATTAAGAACAAGAGAATATTATCAGCTAAAGTGAGTTCTATTAGAAAAAAAGAATACAAACCATCTAAATGGGTTAAGCTCTTGTAATTCTTACACAGGAATAAAGTGTATAAATTAGGACTAGGAACTCTGCAGCCCTCCAGATGTTGTTGGATTGCTACTCCCAGTATTCGTCACAGCCGGCTGTGCTGGCTATAGCTGCTGGGAATTGCAGTTCAGCAACACCAGGAGGGCTGCCTTATTTTCACCCGTATGATAAGCAGTTGGAAGAGTTGGGTGTCTGCCTGAGGCAATCCCATTGCATGAAGCCTCCATAGAATCATAGAATTGGAAGAGACCTCATGGGCCATCCAGTCCAACTCCCTGCCAAGAAGCAGGAAAATTGCATTCAAAGCTAAACATGGCTAAACATGTCCAGCTCTTTAAGCCGTTCCTCATAGGGCTTGTTCTCCAGACCCTTGATCATTTTAGTCGCCCTCCTCTGGACACATTCCAGCTTGTCAATATCTCTCTTCAATTGTGGTGCCCAGAATAGGACAGAATATTCCAGATGTGGTCTAACCAAGGCAGTATAGAGGGCTAGCATGACTTCCCTAGATCTAGACACTATACTCCTATCGATGCAGGCCAAAATCACTTTATACTCTTTTCTCATATTACAAACATGAATTTCCCAAGACCATCGCACCCTTAAAGAAAGAAAGCTCCACAGAAGAGAGTTATTATTGGACTTCTTTGATACAGAATGTTTTGAGATGACTTATGATGACATAGAGATAGAAGCTATAATGGCAAGTTTGTAGTAAATAATAATAATAATAATAATAATAATAATAATAGTAATAATAATACAAGCAGAGGCATGATACTGTTGCTTAGATGATTCATTGGAACTTGTGCCACAAATACCATCTGCCTGCGACAAAGAACTAGTGGGATAGCAGAATCAAAACCTAGCTGCTAGGTAAGCACACCCGGGGAAGGAAGAGGCGTTGAGGGAAGAAATAAGCATTGTGAGTCAGTTTGAGAGAGAGAAGAAAATAGTTTAGTGGTGGATGAGAGAAGAAGACGTTGTCTGCTCTAGATTCTGTTTGGCTAGTATGAGTTAAATTAGAAATCAAATCAAGTCTACAAATCTGATGTTGTGTGATACAGATGCAAGAACACGGCACTTCAGTATCATAAAATTTGTGTACGGGTGGCATAACTTAATGACATGTGATCCAATACAACAGCCAGCAGAATGATCTTGTTTGCTGTGTACTGATCTTGTTGTGCTTCAAATAATAACAATAGCAACAACAACTTATTTATATTCCACCCTATCTCCCCGGGGGGACTCAGGGCAGATTCCAACATACAAAAAGGCAAGCATTCAATACTTCAGTAAATTAACAAGCTTTACTGAGTATGTATGCTAGTATAATACATCAATCTTCAAGGAATATTAAGAATTGTAACTTGGTGCTAAAATTCTCCCACTCTTCAATCCACTCATAAAACTATAGATCCCACAGTTCTTGTTTCAGAAAGGTGTAGCTACGAATGCGCATATGTCTTAACTGGGCAACAATCAGGCAAAATCAGTCATATTGTACTTGTGGTTAAACAAATATTATAACCTGAGCATTTCTTATTTTTCTCTTTTTGTTTTGGCTTACAGTATTTCGCCAAGGTGATATTGGAACCAATTGGTATGCTGTGCTGACAGGATCTTTGGATGTTAAAGTTTCGGATACAAGCAACCACCAGGTAAAATTGCTCCTCCAGTAGAGTGTTATCTTTTGAGGAAACTGTTATCTACAAATGGATAAAACTGTTGGAGATTTCATCAATATGATTCTCTTTTCCACCTTGACAGAAGTTGACCAAAAAATTGATAGCATTATCTAGCATTGTACATCCGAAAGACACACTGTGAACTTCTCCAGTGTGTGAAACATTATGTGAGGGCAGGTAATGAAACAATATGGCAACCTGAGCTATGTTTGGCCTATAGAATTCTTTCCCATAGGGTCTAAGAAATTTCTCAGATGGCTCCCTCGCTGAGGGAAGGGGAAACAAAGCACAATGATAATATCTTTAGCAATTGCTACCCAGTTTACCTGGATAAAAACTAGCAGCTAACTTGGTTCTTGTGGCATAGGAATGGAATTGACACCATTACTATTGAAAAGATCCTAAGAGGAACAAAATTCATAGATTTATTTAAGATCTTATTTATCTAAAGAAATTAAGTTTTGTTTTGTAAATAGTAGGATAATAATAATAATAAATAATAAAACTTTATTTATACCCCACCACCATCTCCCCAAGGGGACTCGGGCTGCTTACATGAAGCCAAGCCCGACAAATACAAATATAACAGTACAACAACAAAGCAAGAAAGCAAATAAAACAATATAAATAATATAATTAACATATAAGCAGATTTAAAAGAAGAGATTTAAAAACACTATGGCAGGGCCAGATGTAATAGAATAAAATTTTAAAACACTGGGTGTGATGATGCTGATGACAATGTTGTCTGTGCGCATTCAGAAGAAGATCTACAAGCCACTCTAAACACCTTCGCAGAAGCATACAAGAAGCTCGGCCTGTCGTTGAACATCGAGAAAACCAAAGTCTTCTTCCAGCAGTCACCAGCCAATCCCTCTCCAATGTCAGAAATACAGCTTAATGGTGTAACATTAGAAAATGTTGACCATTTCCGCTACCTTGGCAGCCACCTCTACACAAAAGTCAACATTGACACTGAAATTCAACACCACCTGAGCTCTGCAAGTGCAGCTTTTTTCTGAATGAAGCAAACAGTGTTCGAGGATGGGGACATCCGTGGGGATACCAAGGTGCTTGTTTATAAAGCCATTGTCCTCCCAACCCTGCTATACGCCTGCGAGACGTGGACAGACATGACATGCAACTCCTGGAATGATTCCATCAATGTTGCCTCCAAAAAATCCTGCAAATCTCTTGGGAAGAAGCAAAGACCACCAGCATTGAAGCGATGGTCCTCCGCCATCAACTCCGCTGGACCGGCCATGTTGTCCGGATGCCCGACCACTGTCTCCCAAAGCAGTTGCTCTACTCTGAACTCAAGAACGGAAAACTGAATGTTGGCAGGCAGGAAAAGAGATTTAAAGATAGGCTCAAAGCCAACCTTAAAAACTCTGGCATAGACACTGAGAACTGGGAAGCCCTGGCCCTTGAGCGCTCCAGCTGGAGGTCAGCTGTGACCAGCAGTGCTGTAGAATTTGAAGAGGCACGAATGGAGGGCAAAGAGAGAAACGTGCCAAGAGGAAGGCATCAAGCCAACCCCAACCAGGACCTCCTTCCACCTGTAAACCAATGCCCTCACTGCGGGAGAACGTGCAGGTCTCCACAGTCACCTATGGACCCACTGGCAGTACACCGATCTTGGAAGACAATCCTACTTGGACAACAAGGGTTCGCCTAAGTAAGTAGGATGAGATTTAGATGTGTGTTCATTTTCCAGGATTAAACATGCCATTCTGAAATTCTATAGATTCTAGCTGTAGCACTCAGGTTTTTCTTGTAAATTCCTTGTTTCCGTAACCTTTTTACTACAGTTTATCAGTAACAACTAGGAATAGGAGTTTTCTTCCATCTCAAGCTCTGACTTATTCCCATCATTTCAGTGCGTGCTTCTGAACTTCTCCCTCTGGACAGACTTCTGCTTGAAGCTCTCTGATGCTAACTTTCTTAGAGTATCACCACAACTTTGCAGCCACAGACTTGCTCTCCTCAGCTACCAGCTTTGATATCCATATTTTCTCCAAGGAGAGTTCTGATAGTCCCATTCACCTGTGAAGTCTTCTACCTTCAGCCAGCAGCTTTGGTCTCTTTTTTTCAACCGACAACCATCTGTCTCTAGCTCTGGCCATTATTTTGTCCTGTCAAAATCCTTTTTCAGTCATATTCTTTCCTCTGTCAAGTGCTTTTCTTTCAATGATCAGTTAGTGGTTCTGGATGGCTGTTGGTTAAATCAAATACGTTGATCCCTTGACCAGTCTGAATTCTGTTTTACTATCCACTTGGGTCATGTACAAAGGCATATTCTTCTACTAGTCATTTTCTGGTGCTCAGCTTGACGCTTCCTCCTCACTGAACAAATGTTGCCAAGACAACTATAGCAGTCTTGTGTACCCAGTACAAAGTAGCAGAGCCAGGTTTTTGACCTACTTGGCTGTGTTTTAACCTCATTCAATTTGCTCACTCACAGTATGTAAATATTATAAAACATAAGCCAGCATGACAATATGCCTTTTCACGTAATTTTTGAAGCAATGAGTTTGTGAAATCATAAAAACAGAAGAATAGCTTTGTTTCATCAGATAACAAGCCAATGTAATGCAGTCCTTTTCTTCCACAGTGGTCAATCGGATGCTCTCTGAGAAACCACCAGCAACACAAAAGTCCAACAGCATCCTCCTACATGTCTTCCACAACTAGTATCCTGAGACATGTCACTTCTGATCCTGGATATAACATGGAAAAGGAATAATTAATATACAGTAATAGATAGAACTAAGAGGGGACACCCTTACCTATTCAGTCCCTTCTTTAAAGCACATGATTTGGACCTGGAGCAGTGGTTTTCAAACTGTAGCTCTCCAGGTATTTTATACTACAACTCCCAGAAATCTCAGCCAGTTTACCAGCTGTTAGGATTTCTGGGAGTTCAAGGCCAAAACATCTGGGGACCCACAGGTTGAGAACCACTGGGCTACATGGTCTTAAGAAGTGTGGTTTAAGGAGTCTGTCTGACAAGGGACAAATGTTATATACACCGCAGTTCACTACACACATGAGACAATGCTAAGCAAACACTATGAAAATGGAAAATCAGTATTCAAAATATGGAAAATCCTATCATATCGTTTAATGTAATTTTTGACTTATTTAGACAATCCCTTATTGTCCGAGTAAGATTGTCCGCCAAGTTCGGTGCCCTGGCGGTGGGTACATAGGTGACTGTGGAGCCCTATTTTTGACCTGCATGTTCTCCCGCAGTGAGGACATCAATTTCTAGATGGAAGGCAGTCCTGGTCAAGGTTGGCTTGATGCATGTTTCTCTTTTTCGCCCTCCATTTGTGCCTCTTCAAATTCTACAGCACTTCTGGTCACAGCTGACCTCCAGCTAGAGTGCTCAAGGGTCAGGGCTTCCCAGTTCTCTATGTCTATGCCAGAGTTTTTAAGGTTGGTTTTGAGCCAATATTTAAATCTCTTTTCCTGTCCTCCAATATTCTATTTTCCGTTCTTGAGTTTGGAGTAGAGCAACTGCTTTGGGAGACGGTGATCAGGCATTCAGACAACGTGGCCAGTCCAGTGGAGTTGATAGCGGAGGACCATCGCTTCAGTGCTGGTGGTCTTTGCTTCTTCCAGCACACTGACATTTGTCCGCCTGTCTTCCCAAAATATTTAAAGGATTTTTCAGAGTCAACGCTGATGGAATCATTCCAGGAGTTGCATGTGACATCTGTCCACGTGTCCCAGTCCTCAAACACTCTGTGCTTCATTTGGAAAAATGCTGCACTCGCAGAGCTCAGGCGGTGTTATATTTCAATGTCATTGTTGACTTTTTTTGGAGAGGTGGCTGCCAAGGTAGTGGAAATGGTCAACATTTTCTAATGTTATACCATTAAGCTGTATTTCTGGCATTGCAGATGGGTTGGTTGGTGACTGCTGGAAGAGCACTTTGGTTTTCTTGATGTTCAATGACAGGCTGAGCTTCTCGTATGCTTCTGTGAGGGTGTTTAGAGTGGCTAATGTAATTTTTGAAGGGGGGTATTGTTATATGGCTGATTTCTGTAAGGCACCATCAATCCAGGTGTTGGTATAACCCCAAAATCAAGCTTCCTGTATCATTGCACAAGTTTTATGTTACTCTTGATAGCTTACTCTATTGGCATCCCATATTTTTAATATCCAAAGTCATGTTTTCTAGGAATGTGTTCATTTTAAAAACTATCTCAGTAGAAAAAAGTACAGGGTTGTGTTCATGTCGACTAAATCATGATATACCACAAGAGGGCAGTGAGAGAATGCATAAGATTTTTCTTCTCTATTCTTTTATACACTAGTGTAGGCAGATTTCACTTTTCCTGTAATTGTATGACTGTTCTTCATTTTGGAAGGTTTATTTGCAAATATAAACACATGCCAATGACCTACACAGTACAGTATGGTACAGTATGGTAAATATAGTTCAATTACCAAGCTGACCATATTATGGTGACTTTTGTTTGTCTGTATGAGGTCTATACACTGAAGAAGCAAGAGATACATTTCAAGATACTCAAAAGATGATTGTTTTATTACTAGAAAAACCCAATACATTTTGGCTTTATGAAATTTCAGAATGAGAAACTCTTAAAACATCTATTGTGTCATATGTTTTCACTTATCCAGAAAATTATTTGACCATTCAGAATTGTCTGCAGTTTGATTCCAGAGACAGATAACTGTCTTCAGAAAGTCTTGAGAATACACAACAGACTGAAATGCCTGCCTCTTGTTTCTTTTGTGGTTTCCATTGAATGCTGCCCAGTTTCTAATGAGAAGGGCTATGCCAAAACCACTCACCCCTGCTACTGCCCTCATTCCGCCAATTGTTGACAACGCAGCAGAGAAAAGATGCTCAATAGAAACTATTGTCTCTATATCATCTTTAGTTTGTCTGCTACTATCGTGCCTAATGATTAGAGTTGCCAGGCCATGATTATTCCAGG